TACAACCAGAGTCCAACCTCGAAAATGCCACAATAGAGTTTATATCTACAAAAAAAATTAAAATATTATCTCTATAGTATTAGAGTAGGCTACTCACAAAATTCTAGTCTCTAACTCCTCCTCTAAAAGCTTTAATTTTACTCAGAACTCTAGCCTAAAAGACATTTCTCTAAGGTTTGGAATGAGAACATATATATATATATGTATATATGATTTAGACTCGATTCCTAAATTTTTCTTACTTAAATATCCTTTACTTATTAGATTATATTATTAGAATTATCAAATTCATAATGTAAATAGACAAACTGTAAATATATAACTTATATTCCATCTTCGAAGGACTTAGACAAATAGACTTAGTATGAACCAGTTTATTCTCACTATAGAAGTTAAACCCTTAATCTAACCGTTGAATTTAATTTCCTATCTATCATGATACTATCCTCCAAATTATAACTCAATCTAACGGTGAATGAACTTCAAAATGCTAATTTACTATTCAGGACTCTATCTGCTAAATCCAAAAGATATAAGTTAAAAACGTACCTAATAAGTTATAACTCGGAGATCAAAATGATGATCCAACCATTGAAATTAACGATTTGGATGTCCCAAATGGGTTGACCAAATTTCAGTCTGATCCAACGATTAATAAACTCAAAACTAGCACTTTTCTAAGACTACCTCAAATATGTGCGAAAATTATTTACTCACTTCAAGCTCCACTCACTATCTCCTATATATAGGCTCCTCAAACTCCTTCACTCTAAAAGATTAGTCGATGTGGGACTTCTATATCATGGTATAATTTTCTAGAATATCATCCACACACACACAATTACACACAAAAACATTATTAAAATAATAATAATAATACTTTGCCTATATCTAACTTTTTTTTTAAACTTAATACAAAAATATATGTATTTATAAATTTAATTAAATACTAGATAAAAAAAATAAGGATGTTACAGCCACCTCCTTTCCTTTTTTTTCTTTGAAGCAATAGCTCCTAGATGGTTTGTTTGAACATTAGGAGGATAAGATTTCATGAAAATCTTAGTAGCAAAGCATCAAAATTACAATGTCAACAAGCAAGGTATAACATGATACATGTCACTAGCTATTTCATGCCTCTTCTAAATGCACATGCCTTGGAAAGGTAATAACATGTTTTCTCAATAATCAAACTCAAGATTGCACATAGCTAAGGCAATTTATGTATGGAGTTAAACATATCATCACATAACTATTTCAACCATATCATGGTATAGCAAAACATAGCATACACATAGCCAATATACAATGCAAGTTAACATTGAAATTATAAATGCTTGCTACCTCTTGATGAGTTTAACCTCTTGCCTTCAAGTTTTCTCCTTGCTAATTCTCCTCCTCCTTTGATGCAAAGCCTATTTGTAAAATAATAGGGTATCACACATTACTAACTTATCAAATTTAAACTATCAACATAATCCTTAACCCATTTTCCTTTGATTTTTGGGTTATTGTTTCTAGTTTTTATTCATTTAATCCTTTGATCTTTTTTGATATAATTTTTCATGTAGATTCTATATTTCAAGTTAGATTTATCAAAATTCAATCCCTTCCTAGAAAACCATGCTTGGCCAAAACATAGGGTTAGGAATTCCAAAATTCTATTTTCAATTCTAGTACTTTTAAATATCCTTTCTTAGTGTTTCCGTACACCATTTTATCATTTAAACACAATAGAAGCATCAAATCAATCTGAATCAAATTCTAACCCCTATTTTTCCTTTTAGCCGAAACACATATATAGGGTTGAGGGTTGGATTTTCTTTCAAAAATCAATCATAACTATCAATTCCTACTCCTTTCTATTACTTACACATTGTTCCAATTTCCTAACTATCTTTTCCTCTTTTTCCCCCCAAAATTTGGGCAGCATTTTCCCTTAAGGAAAAGCCACCAAACCAACATAAAACCCATGTCAAAACAGCCCTAAACAATTCCAATTCACAAGTCCTAACCAAAGTCAAATAGTTCACAAGGGAATGGAAGCTTACCTCGGCAGAAGTTTGGTCTTGTTTGGGCTTTTGCTCACTAGAATCCTTTCTCTCTCTTGAAATTTAGGAGCAAAACATTCCCTCCATAAAAAAGCCTCTCTTAGCCTAAAATGTGAAGGGATGAAGGGGGTATTTATAGTGCTCCTTTTAACTCTTAACCCTTGGAGTTGCATAAAATTACAGGGGTATGTGGGAAAATTTTAATCCTCCATTTAACTCTTCATTGCACATGGACAAATCTTAGACTAGGAGACTTATAATCTTGTCATGTAAGAGGGTGATGTCGTGATGCTATGTCATCCAAGATTAATTAGTTTAATCTTAGGTTAACCTCCTTAATCCTCTTGATCAACTTCATTAATCATCTTCTAAAAACGAGATATTTATTTTATTTTTCTTTAATTCTTTTCCATATTCCAATGGCAAGATGGCATGAAAATGGCCAGAAAAATTTGGAAAAAAAATCCACTTCCCTAGGTATCCTGTCGTTCCCTTGAATCCTAGTGCGTGGTTGGACCAATTTTGCCTATATCTTGTCTAATCCAGTGTCTCCAAAAATTCATCTCAGTACACCAATAACCTCCTTTTAATGTAAGAAATTTTCATGATTTTTTTCAGAATTTATTTCACCCTATATCTCTTTAAATTTCAATTCTTTCAAAATCAATGTTCTGCTAACAAAAATTAAGCTTTAAGTATTATTAAAGCTAACCTCTCTACCTTCTAAGGTTAGAAATTTTTTTATAAATTATAATAATTTTCTAAATAACTTTCTCCCATTTTTTCTGGAGTTATTGAGGCCTTTAGGTATTTTAAATAATTAATTTTGGCTGCCTTTACTTGGTGTAGCCAAAAATACCTGGAAATATAGAAAATTTTGTTTTAAATCATTTTCCTCTTGTTAACACCTATGGGGCCTCAAGTACTATTCTAGACTCTTAATTCTATTTTTCATTATTTTTGGGAGATTTTTGGAAATTTCTATCCTAGCTTCCCATCGAGCTCTTTCTTTATATGATATTTTAAAAATACCAGTGTGGACATTACCCAAGTTTCAGTTAAAATGTTGTGTCATCTATGTCCCTTCTACGCCAATTTGCCTTCAGTCTATTTTATTTTCCTCGTTATCAGGGTTAACATCATTAGCATGTGACAACATTCCACCCACTACTACAAAAATGGGCTTATTCAAAGGTTATTTTTTGCTATATTTGCCCGTTCTGAACCATCAAATAATAAGGCGTCATATATGATAACAATTTTGAGCTATCAAAAATTTAGAGATTATTTAACCATTTTTTGTTAATAACTATCAAATAAGATCATGTTATTTGACGATTTTTGGCCAATAAATGTGAAATTAAGTCACCTAAAAATTGTCAAATATTGTGGCCTAATTATTTTTTACTATACATAATTTTTTTTTTTATTTTCGTTTACTTTTTACTGTTAATATTTGTTATAACACACAATATAATAATTGAATAATAACAAGAGAATAATAATAAATAAAAATATATTATAAAATTCAAAATCTATTATGTTACACGTAAACATCATATAATTTAAAACAAATTAATCGTTTAAGCACTCCCATAAAACATTGTCTTACGAATTTTTTTAAGTCTAAATGTAAGGTTTCAAACTTGCATACAAATGTTTTGAATTCTAAAAGAAATTCTCCTATACGGAGAGAGAGCCTTCGTCCTCTTCCTCTAGCATTTGCCCTTTGTGTTTTAGGTAAGGTTTCAAACTTTGAAACTCTCTACTCAAAATTACTCCTATTTATTAAACTCTTCTCATAAAAATTGTTTTAATCAACAAGATCTATCTAATTGTCGTAGCTTTGTGGTGTTTGAGTTTATTGATAGGTGACCATAAAATTGTAAAACTAAATTAGTGGATGATTTCTATTGAGTTAGTTTTATTTACTGGTTAACTTGAGAATTTAAAATAATTATTTTAACTAAAAAGCTTATCATTTATGAGAAATATGATACTTGTACTATTGAATTTTAAGGTTAAATAAATGAAAAATAAAAAGTATTAAAATAACAAAGAAAGTTGTAGATGTAAAGAAAAAACGAATGAAAAGTTTAAAAAAATGCAACCCACTCCCGCATAAGTGGGGGAATGATTTCAAAATCACATCCCACCTCACATATTTTCCCGCACAAGAGAAAGAGAAAGAGAGAGCTTTTGTCTTGTTAAGAGAAAACTTGAGTTTCTTATCAAAAAAAAAAAAAAGAAAACTTGAGTTTAGGCCTTTAGGGATTGTAGTAAGTATTGAGACTAGTTGATATATAACTATAACATTGTAAAGGTAAATTAGTAGATAATTTTTATAAGGTTAGTTTTATTAGTGGGTTGATTTGAGAATTTAAAATAATTATTTTAATTAAAAAGCTTATCATTTGTGAAAAATATGGTATTTGTACTATGAAACTTTGAATTAAATAATTTACTTATGTATATTTAAAGTACTATTAAATTTTTAATGATTTAGTATTGGGATTTAAACTTGAAATAAGATTTTAGAATTTCAAATATAATTTTGAGTTTGAATTTTGGGAATATTTATTAAGTAAATAATCTGAAGGTTGATTGAGGATCCAATGAAAATTTGAATATTTAGAAAAGATACAAATTATCGCGGAAATGCTTAATTATAGACCATGAGATATTTGAGAATTTACAAGGAAAATGTATAGACCAAAAAATAAAAACATAAAAATTATATAATTCTGCTTGCAATTGCCCTACAAAAATTTAGTAAAATAATAACTTCGTTACACTTAATATTTTATATAATTATTGTAGATATGCACCAACTAATGTGGTGGCCCAGGGCAATTTGTGACGCTTGCTGAATGGAGTTCTGGGTTGAAATCCATGTAAAATTACGACAGTGCCTTTTTAGAGAGAATTAAAAAGAAAAAGAAAAACACACAACCACCCTTCGCCTCTGAAAAAATCTCTAGCGCCTTAATCCGGCGGCCAGCGTTCTCCTTTGTTCTCCCTGCCGTTGCTGGCGCGTGTTCCGTGCTCATCTCCATCGCCTTCGACCCAGTTTCTTTTTCCCTTGCGGTGCTCTGTATGTGCGATCGTGCTTCCTTCTTGGTTCTTCAATGTCGGACTCGCATCTTTGTCTCGTAGCTTTGTTTCTGCTAGTGAAGTTTGGATTCAATTGTTCAATTTCTCATTTCTTCTACATAGGTTCACTCTAAGGTATGCCCTACCATTTTTTTTTCTCTCAATGTTGTTTTCTGTTGGTGTTGAAGTTTGATAATTGAAGCTACTAGACTAAAACGGATATTGGTAGAGAAGAAAGAATTTTATTCTATTTTGCTTTAAGGGAAAATTTTGACAAGAAGCTGGTTTTAGGAAACAAAGTGAGTCGGGTGCTGTTTATTTGTGATTTTAAGATGAATCTTGTTAATAAACTTCACTTAAAATCTGGTCAGTCTAGTTGGATACTTTAAAGCTGTATAGTTGATTTTATTCTATGAATTATGGCGTTTGTTTTGTGTCCTGATATTGGGTTGCACACAAGGCCTTTGATGGAATGACTGAGAGAAATTATAGGAGTTATTGTATGAATTATGAGGAACTAATATTGCCCATTTAAAATCTTTATGCGTCCTACACAGATCTTATGGAAGGCATCTTCTTCCCTTTACGAGGTAGTAATTAGGAGTTTAAGATTTTATGATTATGGATGCAACGACAAGCGAAGATTTGGCAAGAATTTATCTGAGCCAAGTTTGAGATCATGAATGGTTATAATCTATCTTGGGTTACTGGAAATTGTTGTTAATTTGACTTAGTGAAGGTTTGTAGAGTAAGGGAATTGCTTTAAGGTGTTGTGAGTAGATTGCAACTTATGGATTTACGGGAAAGCTCATTGAAAATAATGAACTATTAGAAAATTATTCAGATGATAATTCAAAGATTAAAGTTGCTGCAACTCTGTGGGAATATAAGCCTAAGGAGGTGTAGATGTTGGATGAATGTATTTAGTTGTTGTGGTGGTCAAGCTTGGATTACTAAATTAAATCTCAAGGCATATATATAACGGAATTTTGAGAAAATTTTTTCTTTATGCTTGATTGGGTTGTTGTTGGAATTACTCGTTAGTAATGGTACATGTATGCTATTTTTTTGTGTGTGTGTGTTGATTAAATTACTGCGGCATTTCGCATTGGAAAAATGTTGACAGTAAGATTTTCATTTCTATCTTTCTAAACTGTTAGAGATTTTGTTTGGCAAGTTACTAAAGTGGAAAAGAATATATATATATATTTATATATATTACAAGCGGATAGATAGGAGAGTGTTATTGGTTGGAAATCAACATATCGGGTAAATGGAAGTCATCCCATTTAAATTACAAGCAAATTTTCTCCGATCAAATAATTTATATTTACATTTTAATTAATTATAATGTATCAAAATACATTTCTGATTTATGATATATATCATTTTTTTTATTTGAAACACTTTAATTTTGATGAACACCCAATGCTTCTTGAAAGGATATATCCATTGTTTATTCAAAACAAAAGGTTTACTTATGAATATGTGTTCTTCTGCATTTTGTTTTTAATGAAAGCTTATGCTTGGGATTTGGAATGAAATTGTTTTTTTTTTCCCTCAATATGTTATTTGAAAACTCTCATGTTGAAATCATTTCTTATAAAATATTTTGAGGTTTCATTATTAGGAAAAGATTCTTTCAGTTTGCTGAAGGTAAACCGATCATCAGTGAGGCACACACAGTCACACAATTTCTTCCTCCTCCATCCGCTGCCACCCACCCTGGTGGAGGGACATGATATCCACAGCTCCGTGGACTTCAGGTTTGTCAATCCTATGCTTTCGTTTTCTTCATGTCTCTTCTTCCTTCATCGTTTTTGTCCATCATTGTCATCCCTCTTGCTCCAGCTTTCAAGTTTTAGCCATCCCTGACTCATGGAGTGTATGGGCGCGAGTTTGATTGGTCTTATTTTGCATTTTTCTCATCAACTGCACAGAGAAAAGGCTCTGTTCTTGGGCTTGAAGAATGTTGGTTAAGAAGTAACTGAAACACACAAAATGATGCCCCAATGCTCTATTTCATCAAAGATAATTTTGCCTTTTCAGTTCCAGAGCTTGAATGGTCTCCAACAGCTTGCCCAAACATGTCATTTCAAGGTAGATCTACTCCAGTTCCAGCTTCAGCAATCCCCATTATTGCTGATTCTCAGATTTTCAATTCATATTTTATACCGAGATTTTGCATCATTTTCCTCTTCTTATATGCATTTTCTACCTGACTTCGTCCTTCTGAAAATTCGTTTTTGCAGTCGCATGATTATGTTGCAAGCTGTTCACATGACAGATTTTTGTTTTTTACTTGCAGGCTTGGTTCTTAGATCAATTTGGAGTTCTCCATGATGGAAAACAGCCTTATCCTGGTGCAATTGCAACGTGTATAGTTCTCCTTGTCAGCATGGATCTATTATCTAATAGCATGCCTTATTGACGTAGTTCTAATGTTTCCATCATTTTAATTTTTCTTAGTAGAATCTCTGGCAAAGAGTGGTGGAAAGATGGTTATCATAAGCAATTCCTCAAGACGTTCATCAGTAACAATGGAAAAACTCAGGAGTCTTGGTTTTGACACCTCTCTCTTTGTAGGAGCCATCACTAGCGGAGAACTCACCCATCAATACTTACAAAGGTTGAGCAAGATAAATATCTGTGATAGGCAAACACCTATTATATTTCAAAAAGTTTGTTACTGATGGTGCTGTATTTTTATAAATAAGAAAATTGTTGCAATTTTATTTTCCACATCCTCTGTTATGGATGTGGTATTGGAGGAGTGGGATATAGTAGGCCAATGGACCGTGACACTAAGCCCCACAATGAGTATCATTACTTCTTGGACCTGTGCAGCAGATGCTGTAAGAATGTGGCTTGGGATAAGTGTGAACCACGACTAACTGCTAAATGTTAAGTTTGTTTTCAGCTTTATTTATGTTAGCGGAAGCGTTACTTATTCAAGTCTAGTTAGTTCTATGTTTGGTCAGCCGGGTGTCTTTGGTAGCACATTTTGAAAACCTTGTAAGTTTTCCATTGAGAAGAGAATAGAATAAGGGATGGAAAAAATCGCTTAGCAGTCTGTGGAGTGAGCTCCTGCTTGAAGGAGATTAGTTCCCCATACTGTTTAGTATTTCTGTTCCAAATAGATGTATATAACATTTTCGCAAGGAAGAAAAAGCACATGACACGTGTAATTTGCTTCTGTTATAATGCATCATGACATGCACTGCTTATCCTTTTATTTTATAATTCTCTTTCTTAATCCATAATACCTTTTTAGTGAGATTACTTTGATTCTCTATATCAATTAGTGGCTTGAAGTTAGTTAATGACTCTTTCATGGTTTGGTTTGGCTGAATGAGCCCACTCTAACCATCTCTGTAAATTATTTTCAAATACTGTAGTTTCATTTTAATGTTTTTCTTTTTTCAATCCATGTTTATTTGGCTTTTGTATGAATGATGACATGCTTAATTACATTCAATCTGCTCTTTTACTGGACCATCCACTTCCTTTTGATGGTGAGAATTTTATGAAATCCGTAGCAATTTATGCTCACGGGTCCCTCTTCTACCATATTGTTCTTGTGTTTATATATAATTTGTTTTTCTCTTATGTGTTGTGCATTTTACTTTGAATAGGAGGGACGATCCTTGGTTTGCAGGATTGGGAAGGTCTTGTATTCATCTGACCTGGAAAGACCGGGGAGCAATATCTCTTGAGGTAAGTAAAGCCGCAGTACTTTTTAGCTCGAATTTTTAAATTCACAATGTCCAGTTGATGCTTCTTAAACTCTAAAGGGCGTGTTTGGGAGTTGGGAGAAGGGAAGGGAAGAAATCTAAAGAAATTGGAAGGAGGTAGAAGAGGAATGAATAATTCAATTATAATCTCCCTTCCTCGATATTAGAAGAGAAAGAGTTTCATTGAAATTTTCTATTCCCCTCCGTTATTTATCATCCCAGTATACCATAAATTGTCTTATGCGGTATTACTTTTAGTGATGATTAAAGCATTGGACGTCTGGACTATTGAAGAGTAATCAGTTTCATACGACGAGTATTGAAGTCAATTAGGTTGATTGCCTGCTAGGGTTCATTTTGTCTGTTTAATTGAAGGTGTCCACTGTAAATTCTAAGGGATAATAGAATTAAGGAATGTAAAATGGGCCAAGCTGTAGATTTACTAATGTGTAAGGTCTCTAGTCTTATACAAGGGAATTGCTTCTTTGGTTATGACCTAAAACTAATTTGGTGAAGATAGGTTTGAATAAATGTGCTAGGAAAAGGCAAGGGTTAAGAGAAAATTTAAAGTTGGTCATCTTGGGCATAAAGAAAATGAGAAGTGTTTTCTCTTTTAGGGCCTAGACTTGCAGGTTGTGGAGAATGTAAAAGATGCTGACTTTGTTTTGGCTCATGGCACTGAAGCCTTGGGGACTCCCTCTGGGGATGCACGTCCTATGAGTCTTCAAGACCTTGAAAGAATATTGGAGCTTTGTGTTTCCAAAAGAATTCCTATGGTGGTAGCTAATCCAGATTATGTCACCGTTGAGGCAAGAGACTTGCGTGTGATGCCTGGTGAATATGTTTTACTTCTTATAACTGTGTTGATAAGCTTTAGACCTAATCACAAGTTACTTTCAAGCTCTTTTATCCAAAATTGCAGCAGAGAAGTTTGTTTTATAGATAATATGGCTTTCAGATTTCAAGCGACATGTATAATAGTTGTAGTTCATGTATTGTTTGGTTCCTTTTCTTTATTCCAGTTTCACCATTTACTGATGCTAGTTTGTAACCTCTGAAATTTTAAGGCACCCTAGCAGCCAAGTACGAAGAGATCAATGGTGAAGTCAAATGGATGGGCAAACCTGCTAAGGTAAGGGGATAACTTCTGCTTGGTTTCATTACCGTTGTCTGTCTAGATTGCAATGATTCTGACACAAGTTGATCGCATTTTTCAGCATAAATCAGCTTGTCATTATTTTTCTTATGATAATATCAGTATAGTATTCTAGGCCAACATTACTCGTCTAAATATTTAGCAACTAGTTTTGTCATTGAAGGATCACCAAGTCAACAACATGTCTTGTCTCACGTGTGCACAACTAGTCTGCAATCCTTACATGCATATATTAATTTTAATTTTTTATCTCAAGATAAATCGCATCTCATAAATTTGGTTTAAACAATATTTCAGGGGATAGAAATAGCCAAGCTGGTAATTCAATGGATTTTGCTTATCTGAGCTGTTTTCAGCTTAAATTTCATATTCAATCATCATTCACTGATAGTATATCTTACTCTTTGTTCTTCTTTATAAGGTCTTGGCAACTACTTTCCTAAAATTGAAGAAATTAGTTAAATATATATTTATAATCTCTCAAAACTACCATTTGATTGGGCATAGTTCATTAGAGAGGGGAGATGGAAGACTTCTGTTAAAATGAATTATAAATGTTCCATTAAATTTGGTAAAAAGATCTTGTAACAGAGACTAATGGTTTAGGGTTTTATATTGATCCTTATACCATGTCTAGCCTGATAATACAAGTGTGTGTGAATTATGACAATTGGCATTTTGTCAGATAATCTACGAATCAGCCATGGCCATGACTGGCACAGATTTTTCTGAGTGCATAGCAGTGGGGGACTCTCTAAATCATGATATCAAGGGTGCTAATGCAGCTGGAATGAAGTCTGTTTTTATCACTTGTGGGATTCATGCAACCGAACTTGGACTTGAAAGATATGGTGAAGCTGCGGACTTATTGTCTGTGCAATCGCTTGCAATGAAACACAATGCTCTTCCATCTTACGTGTTGCCTGGATTCAAATGGTAGGATCCTTTTGCCCGTAAGCTGAACAACTGTTCCATTTATTATGTGATATATATATTTATTATAGTAATTTTTAGGATTTGAATTGAATGATTCTTTAGCTACTCAGTTGATGTGACGTTGATCATTCAGAAATGGTAGTCTAGATTTAATATTCATAGAGACTGGCAAGTTAATCTTATGTATACAGAGATGAACTAACTATTGCCGATAGGTTAGCTAAGTTGGCTCACAGGATGGATGGGAATTTCTTGCTCTTAGATCAACCTCCGTCTCTCAATCAAGAGGCGGACGTTGATGAAGAATAGGTTTTTAATTCTTGGTTGTACTCGTTTCTGTTGTTAGTTCTAATGAAGTTTTCAGGTTTTATTCCAAAAAAAAAAAAACAGAGAGAGATAGAGAAATGTTGAGCCTGATGAAGGAGAATTGATAGGATTTGGCAAGCAGTGGATTAATTTTATGTGATTCTATAGAAGAATTAAATTTAGAGAAAATTCCAGCAAAATGACATTTGAAATTTGAAATTTCAAAAACATCACACCAACACCAGCGGCCAGCCCTTACCAGTAGCAATCGAGGGATGGTGGTGACTGGTGACTATTTTTCCACATTAACAATATTTTTATTAAGCTTACAACTTCATTAATGTCATTAACAATTTTTTTGACAATTTGAACCCTTGAAAAAAAAAATTGAAGTAAAGGGTTTTCTTAAAATTTATTTACTCGGCTATTCATGGTGTGTAGTGTCAGTTTTAACAATTTTTTTAAATCAATTTTAACGCTCAGAAAAAATCAAAGTAAATAACTAGATGAAGAGGTCAAGTGGGTTGGCATTTATGAATAGGGGAAGAAACAGGCTGGTTTGTTAAAAGCTTGTGGTTTAGTCTGTATTTGGTCTAGTTTGTTTCAAAATAAAAAAAGACTTGAGTCTTTTTGAAGGCGTATTAAGTCTAATTGGTCACGCGAAAGCCTACTAAGCTTGTCAGTTCAGGCTTGGCTTGTTTATTTATGTTTATTTTTATTTTTATTGTGCACTTATATCTACTCTTATTTCAAATTTTAATATATACTTATAACATGTTTTCAATAATATTATCCATAATTAAAATTTAAATAAAAGATAATAATAAAGTATAATTATTATGTAGTATGTATATTTTACTTTTTTAACTAGCCTCTATATTTTTTACTATGCATTTTAAAAATTTTAAAATTACAAGTTTTTTTAACAAACTCAAATCAAGTCAGGCTTTTATATATGCTAGGCTTAGTCTAAAAAAAAACAAGCCTATAATAGGTCACAGACTGGACTCAGGCCAGTTGTTACTAAATATGCTTGGTTTATTTTCATTGCTATTTAGTTTTTTTTTTTCCACCACTAGAAAGAAGGTTTTTTTACACTCGTTAAAATTGGCTTTTTAAATCAAAACTAGGGTCGATGTGGAAACAGGTTTGGGTAAAAAATTTGGTACTTTTTGAACCGCTTGCATAACCTGTATAAAAAATAAAACAAAAAAATTATAAAAATAAAAAACCTATGATTTTAAATCGCCATTTTTTTTTAAATTTCATCAACAATAACAATAAAGTCTTATCCCATTAGGTGGGGACGACTACATAGATCGCACGACGCTATTGCGTTTTATCCAAAACTAAATCTTTGGATAGATTGTTAAATGAAAGATCTCTCTCATAAATTCATTAAGTGTTGTCTTCGGTCTTCTTCTACTCCTTTTTAGAAGACTCCATATTGTTTGCCCAACTCTTCTTACCGGTGCGTACCAAGGCATTCTTTGCATATGACCAAACCATCTCGTTTTCTACAATTTTCTCATCAATAGTAGCCACTCTAACTTTTCCTCTTATATGTTTATTACGGATCTTGTCTTTTCTTGTATGACCATACATCCATCTCAACATTCTCATCTCAGCAACTGCCACTTTATGTTCATGTTGTCCTTTTAAAGCCCAACACTCGTTGCCATATAGCATTACCGGTCTTATAGCAGCGTTATAAAACTTCCTCTTGACCTTATTTGGTACTTTCCTATCGCAGATAACTCCTGTCGCTTTTCTCCATTTAAAACACCCAGCTTGAATTCTATGATTAACATCTCCATCAATTTTCTCATCTTTTTGTATAATTGATTCCAAATATTTAAACTTTTCCACTTGTTGAATGACCTAGTCTCCCAATCTGACTTCCGACTCTGTACTAACTTGTCTCTTATCAAAACTACAATGCATATATTTCGTCTTGCTTCTACTCAAACGGAAACCCTTTGATTCCAAGGTTCTTCTCCATGTCTCAAGTTTAGCGATAATCTCTTCTTTTAACTCAGCCAATAGAACTATATCATTAGCAAAAAGCATGTACTTTGGGATTTCTTTTTTGATATGCTCAATTAGAACATCGAGGACTAGGTTAAACAAATAAGGGCTTAGAGATGATCCCTGATGTAAGCCAATCCTTATAGGGAAGTCCTTTGTCTCATTGCCTGGTGTTCTAACACTAGTTGTGACCCCCTCATACATATCTTGTATGATTTTAATATAAGTGACATGCACCCCTTTCTTCTCCAAGGCTCTCTAGAGCACTTCTCTAGGTACACAGTCCTAAGCTTTTTCCAAATCAATAAAAATCATATGCAAGTCTCTTTTATGGCTTCGATACTTTTCCATTAAGCCCCTTAGTAAATAGATCGCTTCTGTTGTTAAATTTCCTGGCATGAGCCCAAATTGGTTTTTAGAAATACAAGTCTCTAATCTCAACCTATGTTCCATCACCTTCTCCTATAATTTCATGATATGGCTCATGAGTTTAATCCCTCTGTAACTAGCACAGTTCTGAATATCTTTTTTATTTTTGTAAATAGGTACTAAAGTACTTTTCCTCCAATCATCTGGCATTTTCTTGGAGCGCAAAATCTCATTAAATAACTTAGTAAGCCGCAGCACCCCACCTTCACCCAAACATTTTCAAATTTCAACATTAATACCATCAGGTTCAACTGCTTTATTATTTTCCATTTTCTTGAGAGCTTCCTTAACTTCACCAACTTGAATTCTTCGATAAAAAGCAAAATTATGTTCCTCTTCTCCAATTGTCAAATCTTCAAGCTCATAAGTCGGTCCTTCGCTCCCATAATTAAATAGCTTAGAAAAGTAGGCTTCCCAACGATCCTTAATATCACCATCAATAACCAAAACTCTATCTGCTTCATTCTTTATACATCTTATTTGGTCTCAATCTCTTGTTTTTTTTTCTTTATTCTTCGCATTCTTGTAGATCTTGCATTCCTCAGCCTTAGTCTCTAGATCCTTATAAAACTCCTCAAAAGCTTTAGTAAGAGCTTCTCTTGCTGCTCTTAGTCTCTTTTTTAGCTACACAGTACCTTTCCCAATTTTCAACATTATTACACAAATGTAACGCTTTAAAACACTCTCGTTTATGCCTAATTTTCTCTTGCATGTTCTCGTTCCACCACCACGTCTCTTTATCTCGCCAACCTTGACCTTTCAATTCACCCAAGATTGCTTTGGCAACCTTCTGGACCTTTTTAGTCATTTCTATCCACATAAGATTAGCATTTCCTTAGCTCCTAAACCCCTTCATTTAAAAGCGTCCTTTTGAAAATCTCTCACTTCTCTCTCTTTAACTGCCACCATTTGACCCTTGGGGTTAACACTTGTTGGCACTTTTGTTTTATACACTTAATACGCACATCAAGGACCAGTACTCTATGTTGTGCTGTCACGCCATCTCCAGGAATCACTTTACAATTTGTCCAGAGTTTTCTATCAGGATTCCTTACCTAAAAGAAATCGATTTGCGACCTATGGGTTCCACTCGTGTAAGTGATTAAATGCTCATCCTGCTTCTTAAAACAGGTGTTAACAATCTTGAGGTTGTACGCGAGGGAGAAATCAATAATAGCTTGCCCTTTATTATTACACACTCCAAAACCCATACCATTGTGAGCCCTAGCATATTATCCCGCGTCTTTACTAACATGTCTATTAAGATCACCGCCAATAAAAATCTTTTCCATGGTTGGTATACATTGAATCAAACCCTCCATATCCGTCCAAAATTTCTCCTTAAGATGGTCTTTCGTTCCTACTTGAGGTGGATAAGCACTAATCACATTGATAATATCCCTCCCCACAATTATTCTTAAAGAAATGATTTTGCCTTCTATCCTTTTGACTTCCACCACATTCTGTTTCCATTCATTATCAATGATAATACCAGCTCCATTCCTTGTGCCTACCTTTCCCATATACCAAGGTTTAAATCCATTAGTAAATTCGAAGGCCTTCTGTCCAACGTATTTAGTTTCTTGTAGGCACAAAATATTAATCTTCCTTTTGGCCATTACTTCCATCACCTCCCTTGATTTATCATATAGTGTCCCAATGTTCCAAGTGCCAAACCTGATATTGCTTTGATGAACTAACTTCTTTAGCCGCCTCTGTCCATAAGAGTGTGGTAGCCCTTGCTTATTTAACACTACATTCGGACGACAATACAGCAACTCTTACTCACTTCTCATTGTACTCAAGCCATACAGTGCATCACTTCCGGGCAACAACCTAGCAGTAGCACAATTTCTTGGTTGATCTATGTCATAAAAGATTCGACAGAGTTTTATGTTGGCTGTCGAGGGCCTAACACAACTCTCCTCCTTTGCCCAAGCTTGGGATTGGCTATGCAACATAGGCAGAGTTGCTAAATTTGGAAAAATCTAAGAAAAAATGTGGATATTGTCACACCTTACTTATATAGTACCTTAGCAGTCATTTAGAACCATTCCAAACCACTTTGGATGGTCTTAAACTTAAAAATTTCAATTTGGACGTTAATTTTTGGGAAATTACTGTTCACTGTCCAGTTTTCAGATTACAGGTCCAACTTTGAAAAATCATAACTAATTCTAGAAAAATCGTATGGAGGTGTTCCAAAATTCTACGGAAAGCTCTTTCAATGCTCTTTAAGGAAAAATATCAACTGAACTCATCCTCATGGAAAACGTACAGTTTATTGGATTAAGATTACTATCCGTTTGGTAAAATCTGGACTTTTCAGATTCTGTGCCTTAACTTTGAAAATTCATATCTCTTCGTATACACATCCAAATGAGGTGATTTACCACTCATTTTGAAGCTTGGGATGTGAAATATAGGTCTACCAAATCTCGTGATTTAACTCATTCATTTGATAGGTCAAACTGAAGCTCAAAACTAACTGCTTCAGGACCTACGTTTTATCCTTTAATATCTCCTTACTTTAATTCTTTTTATTTCTTTGACATACATAGCATGGGCTTAATCTTTCTCATTCATACTCATATACTTTCATTCATGCCA